CCCTTTCTCACCTGTTGCTCCCACAAGCGAGAATCCGGTTCTGCACCGTCAGGACCATGGAGGCGTCAATCCCGCACAGGACTCTGTGAGCCTCCTGCTCCGGCGGAAGAGCTACCTGCTGGGGAGAGCTGTAGGACTCCAGACTTCCCAGCCCCAGCCGACCTGGGCCAAAGAAACTCACGTGTCAAAGGGCAAGCCCAACAGGCGACAGCAGAGCGGGACTGTAGGACACAGCCAGAGGGCCACCGTCAGGACCATGGAGGCGTCAATCCCGCACAGGACTCTGTGAGCCTCCTGCTCCGGCGGAAGAGCTACCTGCTGGGGAGAGCTGTAGGACTCCAGACTTCCCAGCCCCAGCCGACCTGGGCCAAAGAAACTCACGTGTCAAAGGGCAAGCCCAACAGGCGACAGCAGAGCGGGACTGTAGGACACAGCCAGAGGGCACCGTGTGCAGACCCCCTGCCTGTGGGAACAGCCAGCTGCTGCAGCCCATCAGGCTGTCCCAACGGGGATGAGGGCTCAGAGCAACACCCTCTGCCCTAGGCCCGGTACCCGCCCTGCCTCTTCACCCCCTGCTCTGCCCCGCTCCACTCCTCCCCCTGCCCCACTGAACCCTTCCTCGGAGCCATCCAACCCAGGGGGCTACGGGGGCCCGGCCCAGGGGCTCACCCCCCCACACTCACCATGGCAGGAAGGGAAGCCGCTTGCTGGGAATCTCACCCAGCTGTCACCGGCCGGGGAGCTCGGTGGGGGGAATAGCAGCCCCAGCAGCTAGCCCCCCTTACCATTGTCCCCTCTGCCCCAGGCAAACACTTCGCGGTCGTTGGAAACGGCCAGCACGTGGGACGCGCCACAGGCCAGCTGCACGATCTCGTAGCCCAGCAGCGCCTCCACGATCTTGGGCTGGCGGAGAGAAGGACAGCAGTAGCCCGCGAGGGCCCTCCCCACAGCGGGGCTGCCTACCTGCGGGCGCCGCCGGCTATCCAGGCAGGGCTCCAGGGTTTTCCACTCTACGCACAATATTGACATTTCTGCAGCGCCTCGTGTCCCATGGGCTCTTAGCAGCGCTTTGGGGCCTGCACACAGCACCAATGAACATGCTGCCGCTCCCGGGTACCCAGAGGACGGGTGCCAGGCAACCAGCTCGCACATCAGTTGTGGGGAGGAGAAATGCCATGCCAAAGGCAGCAGGGCAAATCAGACAAAGCTTGGCCACAGCGTCTCACCTGGAAGGCCCACAGGCAGGCACGGCCTGGAGAGGAGCCAAATCTCCTGAGGCCGAGGGATGAAGAGTCCCTTTTATCTCCTCACTTCCTTTGCTCCCTGCGGAGGCAGATCTGACACCTCCATCCCACCAGCCCCCCCAGAGGG